CTCCCCCTGTCAGAATGGCCATCATCACAAATCAACAAACGACAAGTGCTGGAGAGGATGTGAGAAAAAGGAACCCTTCTGCCCCTACTGGTGGGAATGCAGACTGGTGCAGCCCCCTATGGAAGACCAGTATGGAGTTTCCTCAAAAAACTAAAAATGGAACTCCCCATTTGACCCTGTGATCCCACTTCTAGGAATATATCCCAAGAAAACAGAAACACCAATCAGAAAGGATATATGCACCCCTATGTTCATAGCAGCACAATTCACCAGAGCTAAGATCTGGAAACAGCCTAAGTGCCCATCAGTAGATGAATGGATTAGAAAACTGTGGTACATCTACACGATGGAATACTATGCTGCTGTAAAAAAGAAGGAATTCTTACCATTTGCGACAGCATGGATGAAACTGGAGAGCATTATGCTAAGTGAAATAAGCCAGTCAATGAAGGAAAAATACCACATGATCTCACTCATTTAGGGATAATTAAGACCATTATAAACTGATGAGAAAAAATAGATACAGAGGCAGAGCAACATTGAACAGACTGTCAAACTGCAGGAAGGCCGGGGAGGGTTAGGGGGTAGGAGGGGAGTAAGAGATCAACCGAAGGACTTGTATGCATGCATACGAGCATAACCAATGGACACAGACACTGGGGGGCATGGGAGGCCAGGGGAAGGTCAAGGGGAGAAAAACAAAGGAGACATATGTAATACTCTTTGTAATACTTTAAGCAATAAAACAATTTAAGAGAGAGAGAGAGAGAGAGAGAGAGAGAGAGAGAGAGAGCGCATCTGCAGGGCAGGCCACTGGCTAGAGACCAGGGAAACGTTGATGTTGCAGTCTTCAGCCCAAAGGCAGTCTGGAGGCAGAACTCCTCCCCCAGGACTTCAGTCTTTTCTCCAAAGGCCTTCAACTGATTAGATGAGGCTCACCCACAGGATGGAGGGAAGTTTGCTTTACTGAAACTCTGCTGGGTTAAATATTTTCCAGAAAGTAATTTCACCCCTAGGCGGTTTGGCTCAGTGGATAGAGCATCTGCCTGTGGATTGAAGGGTTCTGGGTTCGGTTCCGGTCAAGTGCACATGCTCTGGTTGCGGACTCAGTTCCCAGTGTGGGGCATGCAGGAGGCAGCCGATCACTGATTCTCTCTCATCATTGATATTTCTCTCTCTCTCTCCCTCTCCCTTCCTCTCTGAAATCAAAGCATATTTTTAAAAAAGATACAGAAAAATCTTGGAATTTTTCTAGATTTTAAAAAAATGTTGGAATTACAAAAAACAATTTTTTTTCACAGCAACTTGAACACGTGTGTTTGGCCAAATCTGGATACCATCGCCTAGCCAGCTGACATATAAAGTGAACCATCACACCAGCAAACTATGGGGAGACCTAAGTTTCCCATACTGGTTTTTCCACTCTGAAAAACACTTAAGTGTTTACTGTAGGTGTCATGCAGCCAAGAACATATTCTGGTTCAGAGATATGCCAGCCTGATAAGCTCCCAATGAACCTGACTTCTTTTCCCAGCTGGGCTGAAACCAGAGGCAGGACACTTATAATGAAGATGTGTGTGTGGGTTTACCAACACCTCATCACTCCTTGTCTGCTAAGCATTAGCAAGGCTTGGGTGGTCAAAGTGATTCTCAGTTGAGGTGATTGTGCTCCCATTTCCACCCCTGGGGACATTCTGGAGACAATTTCAGGTGGGGGGCGGGGGGCGGCCAGGGCGCTGCGATTTGCATCTAGTGCAGGGGTGGGCAAACTTTTTGACTCGAGGGCCACAATGGGTTCTTAAACTGGACCGGAGGGCCGGAACAAAAGCATGGATGGAGTGTTTGTGTGAACTAATATAAATTCAAAGTAAACATCATTACATAAAAGGGTACGGTCTTTTTTTTTTTTTTTTAGTTTTATTTATTTCAAATGGGCCGTAGTTTGCCCACGGCTGATCTAGTGGGTAAATATCCTCCAATTCAGGACAGCCTCTGGCCAACAAACAATTTTCTGGCTATAAGTATCCATGATGCCAAGGTTGAGAAACCCTGATATAGACTTAAGGGCAAAGTAGAAACTTAATAAACAACGTAAAGAGCTGGAGCTCTAAGCTCCTTAATCATTTTTTTTTCTTATAGTTTTTTAATGTTTTTATTGATTCTGAGAGAGAGAGAAGAAGGGAGAGGGGAATAGAGAGATAGAAACATCAATGAGAGAGGAACATCATTGATCAGCTGGCTCCTGTATCCACTCCTACTGGGGATGGAGCTTGCAACTCAGGCTTGTGGCCAGACCAGGAACCAAACTGGCAACCTCTTGGTTCCTGGGTCAATGCTCAACCGCTGAGCCACACTGGCCAGGATGTACATACTTTTTCTTGACAGTAATTTTGATAGTTTGTTTGTCTTTTTGTAGTATGGAATCTGGAAGATGAATGCTGATGTCAGTGGCATAGTTCCTATCCTTTGGCTTCATCTATTTTTATAAGACCCAGTTTCATAGGCCAACTCCAGCACAATTTCCTTCTTGTAGATCTTTTGCAATTTTTTTTTAATATATTTTATTGATTTTTTACAGAGAGGAAGGGAGAGAGATAGAGAGTTAGAAACATTGATGAGAGAGAAACATCGATCAGCTGCCTCCTGCACACCTCCTACTGGGGATGTGCCCGCAACCCAGGTACATGCCCTTGACCGGAATCGAACCCGGGACCCTTCAGTCCGCAGGCCGACGCTCTATCCACTGAGCCAAACCGGTTTCGGCTGATCTTTTGCAATTGATGAATTTTCTTTTCTTTCTCTACCACATACCACAGCAGCAAGTGGAACCCAGTGAGTGCTGTGTATTTGTTGCAATCTGTCCCCACAGACTTTCTGTCACAAAAGCATGAATTTAGATAAAGGAAATAGTAAAGACTTGAGAACAAACTGAACCAAATAAATGAGAAAAGCCTTATCTAAGACCACTAATGTGGCAATACGAAAATTTAGTCTGTCTGCCTAATCCTTCTGAACACCTAATCTTAAATCTAATCTGTGGTCTTCTACTTGTATCTCAGGCCCACAACTTTGGGGTGATGACTGATACCTCCTGTTCACCCATACATGTAGTCCATTCTGTTACCAAATCGATTTTCCCATTTCAGTGGCTGAATGGGATTTAAAAGCAGCACCTCTATATCCAAGCATCAGTGTTCCAATCTCAATGCCAAAGACTAGGTGGTTCCGTGTGTTGGGGTCCTGCCCCAGCAGGTCCAGGGGTTCCCAAAGGTGTGGACGGAGTGGGCGAAGAAGGAAGGACACGGAGACAGCGTTCAGTTGATCAGCAGCCTAGCCAGGTTCTCTAGTCAGGTTCTCCAGCCAGGTTCTGTCTCCTTAATCATTTTATTTGCATCTACATTTCTCTCTCCAAATACATGATATCAATATATGCCCGTTTAAGGGTTATTTTGAATCTAAGTAAATTTTGTTGTTTGCCAAGTCCCCAACTAAAGAAGAATAAAATTTCTCTGTACCTACTGCTTGAGAGACAGCTGCAGTGAGAGAGAGAGAGAGAGAGAGAGAGAGAGA